AATGGTAGTTATCCATCATTGATTTGTACTTCCATTTTCCTTTATGCTACATTATCTGGAAACATTTAGTCATTTTACCAGTTATCCTGATTATCTGAAACACAATAAGAACATGTGGCTTTGTAAAACAAAAATTTGTAATTATTTTGTAGGAGATTGGATGGTATGATGATCAGAAAAATGCTGTTGGAATTCTGTTAACTCGACTTGCTACAGATGCTTCCCAAGTCAAAGGGGTGCGTTGATTCTTTCATGTTTGTATATTTTTTTTTAGTATTTTTTTCTTTACTAATATTAATTGCCATTGGCAAGGAACACTGAGATTATTTCAGAATACAGAGTAATAAATCTACCCCCATAGGGTGACAGATACATTAAAAATCATGTTGTTGACACCATAGGAGTGATTTCTGACTGATAATTTGAAATCTCTTGAAAATGCAGCAGATATTCATGATTTTTCATTGTCTCTTTGCATACCTTTAAACATACAGCTGTAGACCATTTCACCATGCAAAGTGAAATCTGTGTGTGTGTGCTGAGGACCAGAATTGATGGACACCAGGTTTTAGCATTACATACTGTGTATTATTTGGGTGCCTTGAAGCCTACAGCTGTAGATGCTGCAGACCCTTACTGTCCTTAATGAAGACAATTCTTCCTGTCCCTTACCAAACATGCTTCACACACAAGGAGGCCAAATGGGAAGAAATGACATAGCATTAATAAAGAACACTAAAGAAGTAAATATCCAAGAGAGGAGATGACTCAAGCTACTAATTTTGAACAGGAGGACTCTGGACATGGGCAGGAGAATGTGGCAAATCCTTCACAGTTCCAGCACCTACTGCTCATTTCATCAGCATTCCTTGTCTTGCAAGACTTGCAAGAGAGACATTTGCTATTTTTAAGATGATTTTGTTTCTTTCAAACCTGTAAATCAAAAACTCTTTAATCCTTGCATTTTTCATTGTCAGTTGATTTTTGTTTGTTTTCTGTCCTCCTTCCTTAAGGGCTAATATTATTAACAGCATTTGATAAACTTGTTGTGTTATTGAAAGTTCAGTGCCACTGAAGAAAATTGGAACTACATCACCATGCAGGGCAGAAGTAGAAAAAATAGGTACACAGGGTCATCTGACTATAATAGCCAGGGCATGAATTTTTCTCCAAGGCTAGTGTGTTCTCTGGAGCACTCAGTGTGTCAGTAAGTGCGTGCTTCATGCTGTGCTGGCTGAATTTTCAAATCCATCTTTATGTGCAGCCCTTGGAACATATGGCAGCAATTCACCTTGGCATTGGTTTAATTATTACTATTTTAAATTCTGTTGAACAAGAAAAGTCTTTTTAGGGCAGGAAAGTCTTTGGCAAAGGAAAAGAATGTTGTTTCCTGCCCAGGGATTTTTGTTTGGATTTTTATTTTTTCCATCAAGCCAAATTGTGGAAGACGAGCTGTATCTACAGGGCGGTTTTCAAACCTTTTTTCTTCTGCCTGACAGAAGCCATCCTGATGCTGGATGCAAATCATGTCTCTTTTTGAACTCCCTAGATGAGAAGGTTATACTGGCTGGGAGAAGATAGGAATTCTTCAGTATGAGTTAGTATTTTTTCCACTCATCACCTGCTGAGATGAAGCATTTCTTCAGTGTGGCCAAATTGGGTTTGGGTTCCCAGAAAAAGAGTAGATGCAGCTCTACAAGGACCTGAGGATGAGTGGTTTCCACTGCTGCTGGTGGGATGGCTTAATGAATGGCTATCAATGGAACAAAACTCTGCTAACCTAAAGCTCAACCTCCAGCCTGCTTTCCTGCAACAGTGCTGCAGTCTCCTGAGCCTGGGTTAGTGAAAGAGGTCTCATGTGCATGCGTATGACAGTGTGTGTATTTCATTAGACAGCTGGCATGAGCAACTCTTCAGACATCCTTAACCTCGCTTGAAGGTGCCTGAACGCTGGCAGATAAGAGGAATGTCGAGGAACTGTTACATAAGTAGATGCACAATGTCAGTGGGTGTTACCACTCGTGATTTAATTTTCCAGCTGAACTGCTGGCCTTGAGTAAATAGTAATTTCAAGTGGTGATATAACTAAGAAAATCTAATGATGGATATCTTGGGGTTTCTGGGGTTTTCTTAGGCAACTGGAAGCCGGCTTGGACTGATGACTATGACTGTCTTTACCCTTCTGACTGCCGTCATTATTGCTTTTGTGTACGGCTGGCAGCTGACTTTGCTTATCCTGGCCTGCATTCCTTTCGTTATTGCTGCAAATGCTGCAAATGTTAGCTCTGTGTCTGGTCATGCAGCAAAAGATCAAAAAGCTTTGGAGGAGGCTGGAAGAGTAAGTTCTCCAATTTTAACTACAGGGTTATGGTGTGAGATCGCTTTTAAGGACAACACTGTTGCTATATTACAGCTGACTCAATTATCTAAGATAAATGAAGTGGAGAGAGGAGAGGGCAGGATGGGGGATGAAGGGAATGTTTATATATCCCTGAGGAAAACAAAACATAGATAACATAAAACATCTGTAAATAAGAATGCATTTGAATGCCTCCATAGCAGATTTCTGGGCAGGGGCAGCTGTAACAGCAGCAGCCCCAGTACTGCTATGGTTTGTGCCTGTGCTGTAGCTAGAAGTGTCTCAGAGCTCAGCTGCCAAGCACCAACACAATTTTTCTTTTTTTAATTCCATCATAAATTGCAAACTATTTATGTACTTATGAGGTCTAGGGTACTGCCTTCATTTACCTGATAGTGCTTTTCCAGGAGGCAGAATTGCTCTGTGAAAAAATGCCCATTGTTTAGATGATTGGGGTTTATTCTTATTTTATTACATAGGGTTTATCTGCTGGGATTGTGACTTATGAGATAGAGCAAGGGCTGCTGACACTTCCTGTGTCCTGACCCAAAGGCCCAAAACTGAAGTACCTTGTCGTCTTCAGTCTTCCCTTGTCTTGTACTCACCTGGGAGTGAGTAACTTCATTGCTGTAGGCTTCTGTTCATAACAGACCTCAAGCTCTTTTCCTAAAGTAAATACTTTCTGATGTAAACTAATGAATGTTGGAGAAGATCAGATATTTGGGAGATATGTCATAGATGGTTGTAAGAAATTACCTTTCTTATTTTATGTATTTATTTCTTTTTTAATCTCCCAATTTAGGTTTCAACAGAATCAGTTGAAAATATAAGAACTGTTGCTTCACTGACCAGGGAAGAAGCATTCTATGAGAAGTACATAAACAGTTTGAATGGTCCATATAGGTGGGATCTTTTTTCTTTAATTCTGTTCATTAAACATTTTAAACCTTTCACTTTGTTTTAGATACACTTCTTGCAAACCATCTGATATCCACAAGATTGGGAGGGGTATTCTTTTCCGTATGTGTGAAATTTTTTCACTAGTTACAATTTAATATGCTTTTTTATATGCAGTGTGGAGGATAACATATGCAAGACTTGTCCTTTCATTATTTGAATACTTTATAAAATGCATTTTCCTAGTGCTTTACATAAATATCATTTGCTTGTGTGTGTATAGAATGTAAGACATATATTCAGTCAATTTCAGTACACTGGATTAATTTGTATCAACTAAGAAATGGACAGTCAGTTCACATACCATGCTCATTATAACACAAACCAGTTTTATTTTATTTGTGTGCCTTTGAAACCTCAAATGAACTTCATGTATTTCCTTTGTTTGAGCCTCTGTGTGCCACTGACGTCTCTTTGCTGAAAGACATTCAAATCACAAGGGATGTCTGATTTCTCTAATTCCATTTTATTTAAATAAAATAAGATCTGGTTTGTTTTTCTTTCTGACGTAAAAATACAAAAGATGGAATTGAAAATTATGCACTGCATAAACTGTCATAATCCAAAACAGTGTTAAAATTCAATATCTGGCAAGCTAGCATTGCCCAATATGTAAGTAATATGCCTGCATGGGCTGTCAGAGGTCTCTGATTTATTGCTCAGACTGAAAAGAAGATTTCCCTTTTTTTTTTTTTTTTAGTGATCATTCTAGACCATGAGGGCAGAGACCTCCTGATTGATTCAGTGTGCACTGAATTAGCTACACCAAATGAAACCTCTCTAGAAAGACAAATTGAGAGAGGCTTAGTCTGTATCCTTGTGGGAAAAATCAGCAGTATGTCCCTGTTCCAAACTGGGATAAGAGGTCTCTGCATGGATGGGAAGGCCTGGCTGCCGTCTACAGGCAGCCCTTGGCTGGGCTGAAGCCTGCCTATTTCTCAATAACCAGTATGGATGATCCAGCTTATTAAAATGCGATTTTTAAAAATCTGCTCCAGTGATTTACCCTGCTATAGGAAAGAAAAGGGATCAATTCAAGATAGCATAACTGAAGATCTCATTACTCCAATTTTATGTTCTATGGGCAACTCCATGTCACAGTGTAAGATGCTTTCAGGGTCAGAGTGTGTTGCTTGAAAACTTTAACCCAGAAATCTGGTCATCTTCCAGCCAATGTCTGTTGTTTCTATTTTACAAATTATTTATGGAAAATGTCTTCCCTTTCACAGAGATTCTCTAAAAAAAGCTCCTTTGTATGGATTTACCTATGGAATAGCTCAGTCTGCAAACTACTTCGTTAATGCAGCAGTTTTCAGATTTGGGGCATGGCTCATTGCTCGTTGTTTGAGTAACTTTGAAAATGTATTTATGTGAGTATTGTTTGTGAAGGTAAAGATGGGTATATATGGGATAATATTTCAACGTGTGCTTATTTAATCTACTTACAGAGGTAATGGGATGTGGAGACTGCCAAATTCGCGGTCCATTTGGGAGCAGTTTGGGCAAAAGGGTTGTTTTGGAGAAAGGCTCCATTGCCCAAATACACACTTGTGACTACAAGTAGTGCATCATCTCTGGAGGAGTCTTTAATGTTTCACGTTCTTCCAAGCAGAGGGTTTTACTGTGACTCTACTACTGATCTATAAAATAGTAATTGATGACATATCTAAAGAGGCTATAAACATTATTTTTGAAGGTTTATTTTATATGTGAAGAAAACAGCACATTCCACCAGAAACAAGTGATTCTTTATCTTTTGTTTTTAGAGTCTTCTCTTCTGTCATATTTGCAGCTATGAATGTTGGTCAGTCTGCTTCTCTGGCACCAGATTATGGCAAAGCTAAAGTTTCAGCTCAAAGAATCTTTCAACTTTTGGATAGAAAACCTCAAATTGACAGTTACAGTGAAGAAGGTGAAAAATTGGTGAGTTTTTTTCAGAAAAACCCTGAATGACATTATTAGTAATGCTTTGTTGTCTACAACTGTATTTGCACTGCCTCATGTTTTGTAGAGCATCACTAAAGACAGACGCTGTATAAAATAGTGTTACTGCCTGGCTAGTTTTTTTTTTTTTTTAATGGGCCTTCTATCTGTCACCTTAAATGTGGTTTTGCTCTCAATAAATCTGAAATGATTTTTCATTCAACTGCCCTACATTTTAAATGGTTTCAGGAAAACATTGATAATGTCAGTTCACAATTCATTGCCTTTGTGTAAAGGTTTACGGGAGAAATAAAACACAAGTGCAGTTTACTACTGTTTTTGCAGATAAACAGGAGAGTAGCCCTGTCAGAGAAAGAACAATTTTGCCAAAATCCATCCCCTTACAACTGTTTCTCTTATAAGAAAATGTGTTCTTGGGAAGTCAAAACTAACTTAATGAATAATATGATTTACTCTAGAGGTTTAAAATGTCTTGTCTTTAAATCAACATTGTCATTAAGGAATCTGATCTTGGCAAATAAACTTTGTGCAGAGACTTGATGTGGAAGGATTACGTTTACACATACAAATGAAAATTATCTCACTTGTAGGTGTTAGACAGTAGCCCCTGCACAGGAAACTGTAATCCACTTTCAGTAACTTTAAGATCTTACACAGGATTTTCAAACTTTTTAATTACGTTCTTTGTGTATCTCTTTGAAACAGAGCTCTCAGGCATAGGCTTCGAAAAATTTGGTAGAAAATCTATGGCAAAATAAAACTTGGATAGAAATATGTATAGTCTAGACTGGACTCAAAAACTAGTGCACGTGTCTTGAGCAAACCCCTTAAATCAGCTGTTGTGCTAGCATTCCTAGAATGTTGCTAGTTTTTATGTGGGACTTGCTCCTACCAAGAGGAAGCAGGCAACTAGGCAAGGTCTGAATGCCTGCCCCATTCTTTCATTTGGTCTTAGAGATCTGCCTGTCTAGAATGGCTGATTAATGATCGCTGTTGCTTTTCAAAACACCCGCTTGTCATACGTGCCTGTAAATTACCTACTGAAGAATTTACCTCTCTTTAATATCTGATCTTAACCTTGTGATGTATTCATTCAAGTCATGCTACCTGCAATGTGAGATCAGGAGAGTAAATGTGATAGATCATACCAGGAAAAGTGCCTCAATTAGATGTGTAGCAAATGAAAAATACTAACATTGTTTGTGTAAAGATACTCCTTTTGAAAGCTGAAGTAAATATAAATACAGGAGAGAAATGCGTAGAACTGTTATTCCAAAAGGATCTAGTGATTTGCAACTAGAGATCATCCTATAAATGACAATACTAAACTTGATTCTAATATGTGATTGCAAAGAACAACAAAAACTATTTCAAAATCACTGTCCCATACTTCTGTGTCAGTTTTCTCATTCAACACTTTTAAGTCTTGACTGTTTATTTAAAGCTGATAAATGATAATATAATCATACAAACATTCTGTTACTTTTCAGAGTAATTTTGAAGGCAACATTGAATTCAGAAACATCAATTTTGTATATCCAACAAGACCAGAAGTTCAAGTTTTGCAAGGACTTAATGTGAAGGTTAACAAAGGACAGACTCTGGCATTAGTAGGAAGCAGTGGCTGTGGCAAAAGCACATCCATTCAGCTCTTGGAGAGATTTTATGATCCTGTGGAAGGACAAGTGGTAAAGTAGACTTATGTGGCTATTCATAATCATTGAATCTACATAATTCTTCATCTTCTAAGGCTTCAGGGGTCTTAAATGATCCTGGCTATAGCTCTGGAGAGATGACTCATAAATGAGTTGTGGGTTACTGAGGCTGCAGCTGTAGACAGTCTCCAGACAACTGTTGCTATCTGCCCCAGCACTAGTGGCTAATGCATGGGATTGACACAGTACACAGCACTGATACATCACCAAGAGGGATGGTTTCAGGCTACACTGTCTCCTCAAAGCTTCTAAGTGTCTGATCACTCTGGGCCAGAGAATTCGTGTCATCTGCTTGACTGTGTGCAGACCATCTGAGAATATAAATTCACACATTAGAGACAAAAACACATTCTTCACACAGTACAAACCTAAGAAGGATGTAATAGGATTTTTGATGCATTCACTGTTAATGTGTTATCAAAGATGTGATGAAACCTTCCTGGTGGTTTTAAGATTAAGTTAAAGGCCCACAGTTGAGAATATGTATTGTTAATTCAGCTTCTTAAGGATGAGCTTTCCCACAAGGATCCCAGTTCTGCTTGGTTTTTGCAGGGCTAGAAGGATTGCAGAAACAGCCTCTGCTGTGTGCTCCATGCTTCTATCTGCCAGAAAACAAAAGAAAAACACATGAAATTAAAAAATAATGAAAATAAATATTTATCCACAGTGTTGCTTTTGTTCCACTTCACATGCAAAATTTACTTGAATTCAGATGGAAATTTCACATTTAACAGGTTTCCTGATACAGATTGTTTCCTCTTTACGTTATGTATCTGTGGATGAGCTCTGTACTCAATATCACATCATTTTTTTTCTGTTTCTCTTTCTAGTTAGCAGATGGATTTGATACCAAGTCTTTGCATTTACAATGGCTGAGGTCCAGGCTGGGTCTAGTGTCACAGGAACCCATTTTGTTTGACTGCAGCATTGCTGAAAATATTCAGTATGGAGACAACAATAGGGTTGTTAGTCAGGAGGAAATTGAAGAAGCAGCTAAAGCAGCAAATATTCATGCCTTCATTGACAAACTGCCAGAGGTGAGAAACAGCAGTCTGCTTTTCACAGTGCACTTTAGACGCTTGGAGTGACATGGAGAGAGGCAATACAGAAATAAAAATGAAAACATGTAGTTATAATTTCCTTTATATGAGGAATGTATTTTAAAGATAACTGATATCTTAAGATACCAAAATGTGTGTTGTTTAAAATCCCTGCTGGATTGCTCAAGTAAGTCAGTGTGTGAATGTAGTGATAGACAAAGCAGTATGAGTGGGAAAGAATAAGGACACTGTACAAGCATTTTCTCATATCCTCATTTTTTAATATTATTTTTTGCTTCTGTAGCTGAAACTTCTCAAATTATTTTAAGATTAATTTTTCTACAATACTTCAACAAAACTAAATATTTTGCATCTAGTTGGATGGACAGGGAGTGTTTCTTAAAATACTGTGCGTTAGTAAATCAAAAGTGAATAGCCTGATGTTTAACCTTCATGCCTGCATAGAATTTGGTTCTAACAAGGAAAAATTCTTTGATGGCTTGTTTTCGCTGAAGCTCTGCATAACTGAAAATGGTGTCATTGATGCTAAAAAATACTATAGTTTTGTCATTACTATTAATATTTGAGATTCTTCAGTGATTTACGAGTAACACAGGATGAAGTCCTTGATGTATGTGTCAGGAAACATATTGTTACGATCATGGTTAAGTGTCACCTGGACACCTTAACACTTATCACTGGCAGTACCATTCAAGAGCTGCTCTAGTCTTTGGGGAAGAAAATTTTCGGATCAAATATAGATAGGTGGCTTATTATACAGCCATTCATGCTGGAGGTGTTTATAACACTTTAGCTTTATTAAAACCATTTGTACTGTTCTTTCATGAATCTAACCTAAACGTTATTGCTACAAGTGAAACTTTACTTTTCTCTGTGAGTATTCTTAAGCCTTATTTTTTTTTCCTCCCCTTCAAACATTCAGAAATATAATACTCGGGTGGGTGAGAAAGGAACACAACTTTCTGGAGGTCAAAAACAAAGGATAGCAATTGCCCGAGCTCTGGTTCGTAATCCTGCTGTTCTGCTTCTAGACGAAGCTACTTCTGCACTTGACACAGAAAGTGAAAAGGTGAGTAATGATCATCACGTGAATTACTTACAGCTATATGTGGTTAGTTGCTTTTCTCTAGAATAAAAGAAAAAATTTAAGAAAATCAGCATAATGTGATGCAGTTAATCAGCCATGGGGAAAAAAAAAAACAATAAGCAGGTGTATCACAGTAGCATTTCCACTTTAAGCTGTGAATTTAAAAACATTAGGAAGCTGTGCATAAGTTAAGCAGTAGATCCTTTTCATTTAAAAAAAGCTTTTGGAACAATAAAAATGTCACAAAAAAAAAAAAAAGCAGCTCAGATTACACTCTGGGTTTTTCAGTTAGTTGTATTTGGTAGTAAATGCTGAATCTGTGTTCTGACACAACCTTGATGTCCAAGAACCCAACTGTCAGTGACTTCTCTCACTGAGGGAAACCCTGTTAGGTAAGGATGTCTCATATATACACGTAGTTTATAGGACATATATTCAGGTGATAATAAAAGTAAGATATCAAATGTGTTTCCTACATCTGAGGCTGTACAATTGCTAACAGCATTTTCACATCTGTGTGCAGATTGTTCAGAAAGCTCTGGATAATGCCCGGCAAGGTCGAACCTGCATTGTAATTGCACACCGCCTGACAACCATACAGAATGCAGACATCATTGCTGTGATCCAGAATGGCAAGGTGGTGGAGCAGGGCACCCACAGCCAGCTACTGGCAAAGGAAGGACACTACTATGCCCTTGTAAATGCACACTGTTAGTAGAATGCTGTTAGTAGAATTTTTGTTTGTTTATTTGTTTGTTTTTCCTGGGAAGATGTGAAAAGCTGACAAAGAAGTAATGTTGGTTGTATCTCTGCTGATGGAACAGTGGCCATGTAGTGTGTAGCCTGATTGCTCAACTTGGTGTTGACCTTGGCCTATGTACCTAGAGAGGAATAAGCAGTGTATGCCCATGAGTGATAGGTACAAGTGGCAGCCCAGGGGCTGGGCATTTGGAGGGATGGTGTGATCTGGAGAGAGCCAGACCTAAAGCAGTCTCATCCAGTCCACCAGTTCAGGTGGAAGAACCCAGATCTTTGTCCCCTGAAACTCTGGCCCACGTGAGTTGACACAGATCAAGGGTCATCCGTGAGTGTGGCAATGGCTAACTGTCATGGATAAGCAGAGGGCTGCTTGTGCTTGCTTCTGTTGATTTTATTTTTTTCCTCCAAGATGCAGCTGCGAAGTTTTCTTTATGATCTAAGATCTGTTGATTCTCAGATAATATTTGAAATAAAAGCATTTCTATTTCATTTAGAGAGGAGTGGTTGTTTTTTCCACTTCTTGCCATATTTCTGATATTACTCTCCTTCATCCATTTTTTGAGGATTCAATGTTGTATTTCAGATGATAATTGTAATAGTGGAATGCTTTCCATGGAGTGGTATATTTTATGTAGTTTATCAGTGTCTGTTGTACTTTTCAATTGCAGTCATTTGGGTCACTTCAAAAGTCTTGTAGGACAGAGCTAGGATGGCTTGTTTAGAATGAAGTCACTGTTACATTCCCTTTTTCTTTGTTTTATTTCTGCACAGGAATTAAGCAGTGAATTCTTAATTTAGGGGAAAAAATATCTTATTGCTTAATCTACCAGCATTCTCGGGGAAGAAAAGAGTGATTGTTGCTTTGGGTTGGATGTGTATGTGTGTTTTCGTTACAGTTGTAATAAATTGCAACACTACAGAAACTTATTCATTATAGTGCTAAAATAGCAAGTAAAATTAAGTAAAAAACAGGAAATTATTTTCTCTATATAAATAGAAATAGCAGCTATTAAGCTGAATCATCTAACATCTGTGACTGGTTAATGGAACATCTTTGTGGAAAATACTGCATTTGCATCCACACAGATAACAGAAAAATCCAAAATGTGCTTCCTACCTCCGGCTCGGAATTATTTAGTAAAACGGAGGCAAATGAAATAAGGAAATATTCAGTATTTGACCTGGAAGGTGCTATAACAGTTTCACTGGGGTCAGCCTAGAAAAATAAGTTGTGTCACTAGTGGGGCTTGTGCTTCCCCTTGTTGACCTTTCTAAGGGTAAATATTACCTACAATGGAAAGAAAAGTTATTTCCCTTGCATCGCTTTCAGCATGTTCCTCACCGCTGTTCATGTAGAACATTCTCATGCTGCAGTAGCTGGACAGTCTCAAAACCATCTATGTATTTTAGGGATAAACAAAGTAAGGTCTTGAAGTGAGATGCTTGGCAGCACCACATGGAAAGATGAGCTTGCCTTTTGGCTAGGGCCAAAACGAATGGGTGCTCCTGTCATGACAGAGGGAGCTGCTCTGGGCCATGGGATCTGAGTGAAAGAGCTGTGCCTAACTGAGGTTCCTTGAGTGTTCTCTGCTCTTAGAAGATTGAAAGGGAGAATAGAGAACATGACTAAAGTAAATAGCATTAATTTACTTAAGCTAAGTGAATTGTTTTTTAGTGTATGAATGTATTTTACAAATTTGACTCAATACAAGGATATTAAAAATTGCTAATGTTATAGCCCTGTTTAAAAGGTCATCTGCAGATGTGAGAAAACCACCAGACAAAACCAAGCCCTACCCACCAGGCAAGAGACAGTGGTGGGCAAGAAGAAGAGCAAAATTCCAGCCATCTCTAAGAATGACAGAATAGCACACTACTGAATGACTGCAAAACTACAGATTGAGCTGGGTGACTTTACTGATTCAATGGATCTATAAATAGATCAGCATGTTCAGCCTGTAGGCATTACTAACAAACTTTGTACTCGGGTGGTTTATTTCAGACTGTTCATGTCATCTTCCACAGCTGGTTATGCCCATGCAGCTGGCAGACTGGCTGTGTGCCAATTAAAAACAGATATAGAGTCAGAGACAAATACATGTTAAAAGCACCTTTTCAGCAGTAGAAGGCTGGTATAAAGATCAAAAGAATTATCTCTGATGGGGAAAAAAAATGGCCTAAGAACATATATTTTAAGATCCCCTTTGCTATGTTGCCATCTACCCTAGCTGCTAGTTACGCTTCCTTTACCCCTATACAAGTAGAGGCTACGTGTTCCAAGTAAGGTGCTGGTGATGCCACTGGGGCCATCACCCCTAAGATAAGTGTCATGAGTATAGTGATGAAGGAAGAACATCAACTCAAGAAACACCAAAGGCCTTGTTCATGAATAGATGAGAAGCATTCAGCCCATGTACTTGCTTTATGCCAGCACTGCTAATCCTGCTAGAGAATTAATGTCTTACCGTGCTCTGCAGATGAGAGTTAAGACTTCAGAGAAGGCTTTCATAAGGAATTCAGGAGAATGAATTAATGGTGACTTAAACTGACTGTATAGTTAAAAAATTACTAACAAACTGAAGCCCCTGAGATGGGATATGGAGTTGACAGGAAAGTGCAAACTAAAGGTACAGGAACTGACTATCCTTATGGCTTCAAAGAATCATTTGTTCTCATACAGGCATTGGAGCTTACT